GAAAGATTCTGGGACATCTGGGAAACAACTTATTGAAGTACCAAGTGATGTTGATCAGGAGTTGTCATTTGTCATGTTCAAATCAGAGGCCAACGACACTAGTGCTGTGCATATGGATGACAATCAAGCTAATCAAGAAGAGCAACTCCAGAAATTAGTTCAGGAAAAGGTGAAAGAAATACAGCTGATTGCGGAAAAGGTAACCATGCATCTTGGGAGCTCAGGCGTGGCTGTTAATTAAATTTGTCCTCGAGATGGCATGGGATGACAAGGCCGTGCATCTATGATATTGTGATTGTTTTCCTGTGGACCAATAGGAGTTCGTATTTCTGGACAATCACCCAGTAATGTATTTGGGTTCTTTCCTCTAAGCTGGTTTTTTAGATTTTCTTATCGTGATCTGAAGGAATCAGTGATCAATTAAGCTGTAATTACTGAAACTAAACCACACAGCAAAGTTGATTGAATGATATTCAGTGGGTATTGTCTACTTCTAATACGTCCTGCTCGTACTGTTTTTGACGTGCACTATTATATCCAAAAGATGTGGTTTATAGTTTCAGTTCTTGCTCGAGTTTAATTCTTAGTTGACCATGTCGGTAGGTTTGACCTGGTACAACCCAAACTGGAAAATTCATATGAATTCATTTAGCTTCAATATCATTCTAGTATGTTTGTCTCAACTTTTTAAAATCAAAGGGACAAGAGGTAGGGAGATGTGAAGGTCTGTAGTTTATTTTTGAAAGTTATTTTACCGTATTATTGTAGTTTTAAGAAAATAAAGTTATTTCTTTCCCCTTTTTATATAAAAAAAAGTTTTAATTTTTTAAGTTTTGTTTTTTAATAAATGTGTAAGGCTTAACCGAACACATGTTTGAATTTGATAATTTATAGATTTTTTTTTTAAAAAAAAGGCTTTGATTAAGGAATATCTTTTTTATAGCGTATTTTACACAAAAAAATATATTAAACTAGAAATAACATTTTGATTGTAATTTGTTGAATAAATTGGCCAAAGTCCGCTGAACCACAGGTTTCCCTTGTTTATGTAATACATTTTTTATTTTATTTTTATGAAATGTAATACATTTTACCCCCTTGGATAGAAACAGAATGTATTGTATATATTACACTTGTTGAATTGTCGAAAACAAGAAGTAATCTAAAGATCTAAGAATATATTATAATAAAATCAATAGGTAATAGTATTGAGAATTTGGAATTTATTATTCTATCACAAAACCCTCTAACAACCTCAATCAAGCTAATGCATCAAATTGAAGCTTTCAATAATTTCTTTTCATTGGTTAAGACGAATCTATCTTAACTTTCTGAGAAATTACGGGGAAAAATCATTACTTTATTAATACACCATGCATACAATTATTTCCAACGACATCTTCCTATTGATAGGAAAATATCCAAAAAAAAAAATTTGTGTTGACCCTTCTGTCACATGGTCCTGCTGCCAGGAGAAAAAGGAATAATATAACAGATCAACATCCACACTCGTTCGATCCCACTATATGGGAATATACCTGTTTATGACAATGGCTTACCAACTAACCTAATTGTCATATTTGTAGCAATATTAGATTTGCCCAAATAAGATATAGATTAAAATACGTCAATGGTTGTACACCAAAAAAAATAAAATACGTCAATGGTTTCTTGTTAGTGATTGCAATGGCTGGAGAAAAACAACTAACCAATAATTTATTTCTATACATACTGAAAATACACAACTTCACAGACCAGACTTGCGCCCTTTACAAAGATTCTGACCCTTTCAACAATGAAATGGCGTCACTCATTCTAATGAACTTACTTGCAAAGAAAAGAAATGGGATGAAGTAAAAAGAAAAACAAGAAACGGACAAACATATTTCAGACACAATAATTTGCTACCTCCTCACCAAATGATACCAAATTGAACACCATTGAACTCACATGACAATCTCTGGTTTCAGAATATTTGACTTGATCTCCTTGTGGGGCAAAACCACACCACCATTGCTGTAAATTTCATCACACACATGGACATCTTCTCCAAGGATGGTCATATTCTCCACTCGAGCCCATTGCCCAACAGTGGAATGCCATCCAATAATACTGCTGGATATGCAAGCATGCTTCTTAATCCGGACTCCTCGCATTACTGTGCAGCGTGAGAGTCTAACACCTGGCTCAATAATGCAGCCAGGACCAATAGCAACATCAGGTCCAATGAGACATCCCTCACCAATATTGGCTGTCTCATCCACAATGACATTCCCTACAATGTGAGTACCACTGGCCAACTTAGAAGATGACTTTTTCCTCAATGAGTCCAGGTAAAGCCTCAGGCCACTAATATAATCCCTCGGCTGTCCAATGTCCATCCAGAATCCTGGCAGGACCATTGCAAATAGCTTTTTCTCTGCAGCAATCTTTGGAAACACCTCTTTCTCAATAGAAGTGGGCCTTAGTTCAATTCGATCCAAAACAGATGGGTTTAACAGGTAAATTCCAGCATTGATTTTGTTACCAACAAACAATTTGGGTTTTTCAACAAATTTATCAACCTGCCCTGTGGTCTCTTCCATCACAACCACACCGTATTTTGATGGCTCGTCAACCTACAAAAGTAGATGAAAAATGATATTAGATTCTCCAACTTGTATGTATAGTCTCACATGTCAACAACGGGATTTTATTTTTTTGTCAAATCGGTTACCTTTGTCACCATTATGGAAGCCTCTCCTCCATGGCCTTTATGGAATTCAATCATTTCTTTAAGTGGGTATTCACTGATAACATCACTGTTGAGAACAAAAAAGGGCTCTCCAGATTTATCAATCAGCTTATCTCTGGCAAGTGCCAGGGGACCTGCTGTTCCGAGTGGTTCAGTTTCTTGAGAACATGTGATCTTGATGCCAAGCTTTGTTTCAAAATCCTTCAAGAAATTCAACATAACCTGCAGGAGCATTAGCCAAAGTACAAATGGAGAAACATCAGCCACATAAATCTATTTAAGCATTGACTAGAACAATGTCATAAGGAGAGACATCTTTACCTCTGGTTGGTAGTTGATGGCTAGCACCACCTCAGTAACTCCAATGGCCTTAAGGGCCTCTATCTGAAAAACAAGCCAAATCAAAAGGTAAATCAGTAGGATAGTCAATTATGTCATATTTAAGGAAATAGACACAAAGGATACAATTTAAATACATACTCATACAGTATGAACACACATAAAGTAGTTTCTTTTTATCACAATATATCTAGAATAAATAAATCAGAGTTTTCTATTCTAATAAATTTTTTATAGATCTATGTTATATAGAAAGGAGGGCATCAAATGTTGCATGGAAATGGGACTCAAAAAGAAAGCAAACCCCTAATTCCTTTCTATAAATAATGGATGTAAACCTTCTACAAAAAAAGAGAAGAAAAGGGCTTAAATAGCTTTACCTGATGCAGAATCATGGGCTTGTTAGCAAAATCAACAAGAGGCTTAGGGAAACTGAGTGTCAGTGGCCTCAACCTTGTTCCAAAGCCCCCAACCAGAATCAGTGCCTTCATTGTGATAAAACCTTCACTTTTCCTGTAAATTTATAAATTAGAAGCAGATCAAGATAAGCAAACAGAGAATACGGTCTGAAATATGAGCAGATAGAATCCACTGTGTCCTATAAATATCAGTGCCAGGAAAGAAAGAAAGAACTAGCACAGAACACCTAAATGAACAACTGGCAAATGAGTTGAACCTGAGCTGACATGTAATCTATTGAGTGTGACACAGATTCATTTGCGTGTCACAATGCAAACCATAAGCTAGAACTTGAAAGTTAAAACACACAGAAATTTTTAAGCCATATATGAAAAACAAAGGCAAAATCCAGCTATATATGGCTCATGTTTTTAATGAGAATTGCAAGTAGTTGAGGTATAATGCAGGTTGCTCGAACTATGGAGTTGAGTGTGACACAAACTATTTACGTGTCACTACGCTAACCATAAGCTAGAACTTGAAAGTAAAAGCACACGAATGTTTTAACCATATATGAAAAAACAACGACAAATCAAGCGCTATATTCAACTCAAGTTTCTAATGAGAGTGACAAAATGGTTTCAATGCAAGCTGCTCCATAGATGGCATCAAATATATACTCAAATCATGGTTTGTGCAAAAATTATTTGGTATTCAGTAAGCAGCTAAAGTATTCATGTAGAGATTTTAATAATGGGACAATTTTTCATATAGAGATTTTATTAAGAAAGAAAATCCACTTTAGAATCCTTGAAGTGAAAACATTGCTTTAATTCAATCAAATACACTTCAGCTAACGATATTAGGTTAGAATCTATGATCTCATACATAGTACCCCTCACCACTAAGCCGATCCTAGTGGTTTGTTGGCAACTCTATCAACAACATTTGAAACCAAATGCAAATGAAACAAAACTTCAAAGTTAAAATTCGTAATATAAATGAAACAAAGGATGCAATGAGATCACATAAATTGGACAGAACAACAAGTAGTATTGCACGACATATATTGTGCTACTGAATAGTTTATTTTATCCAACTTCTTTGCAAATTAAAACCTCTTGCTCCTCCACTCCACATTACTCTAATTCTTTATTACATATCATTTAATTCCTCTGTTTCAGCTTGAGTCAGAAATTTCACAAATCCATGAAAACTCAAGTAAAATTACAGAATAGAGAAATCAATTAAACACAAAGCTAAAGACAGAAAAAGAAAAAACAAAAGAGAGAGACAGAGCAAAGGACTTCGGCAACACGCAACAACAGATCTGAGTAGCACACTGAAATATCTAACAGAAATCAAAATCAGAGCAAATTCAACAACGAAAAAAAAAAAAACTCACGAGCACGAACATTGCGACTAAATAATCGGAATTCGAAAACAACATGCATTGATTTATTATTAAAACAGAACAAAGCGAAACGGCAATGGCATTGTTGGAATCTGAATTACCTTTGGATCCGCGATGATAAAAAACGAACTGAGTCGACCCCAACCCGGACCGAGTCAACGCGGCGAGTCGGAATCCACAGCTAGAATAGAAGAACAACCCCCGATTGCGTCTCCTCGATCTTCCTCTTTATATAACACGCACGCCAACAATAAAATTACTCTCTCATCTATCATTTATTTTAAAGTTTAACTATTTTCTATGCTAAAATGACAAACTTATCTTACGTTTCAATATATGATTGGTAGATGATATGTCAATGCATGCATTATTTCTCTCAATTTAATCACTTTTTATTGAATAAAGATCATTTGTTATATTAGTTTACCAAATTAAAAAATTAAAATAAAATTTTAAAAACAAATTATAATTACATTCGTTCAAAAAAAAATTAAATGCATAATTAAAATGATAATATCTATATATATTTAAAGATTTAAGTAATAGTAAATAATTAAGTTTAGATACTTGTTTAATAGTCTAAGTATTTATTTGATATTTGATATTCTAAATATTAATAAACGATGACCAAAATCACTATTTACTTGTTATTATTTTAGACTTTAATTAATCCTATGGGCGTTGGTGGAGTTTCCCTTTTTTTATTTTTTTGGTGTCGGTGGCTTCCTCGGTTGTTTCGGATCTTGGCCACTTGTTCTTTTTGTGTTATTTTCAATCTTCTTCTAGTTTTACGTTATTTTCGTAATTGTAACCTTTTAGTTTTACTTTACTTGCTTATCATTATGTTTGTACAGCACAAGCAACCAAAATTTGCGCCTTCTTCTTCACTTCTATGCTCTCTAGTACGCCATATGATTAGTGTTGTACCATGTGATCGAAGTTTCCTTTCTTTTTATTCTTTAATTTCCATTTTTTTATATGTATATTTAGATGGATAGTGTTTATTTAGATTTTATCCTATCATCTATTAACTAATTATCACAATAACAAAATAATTTAGTGATAGATTTCATCACAATTTAGTGATGTGATAATGTTGTTTAAAATTTAAATAATGTCCAAAGGTTAAGTATCTATTTAGGATAAATTAGACGTGTATAAGTTGTGATCATTGAGATTAACATGGTGGTTAAGAAAAAAAAAGTCGAATACAAATTTAGATTTAATGTTGATTGTGATTATTTTTGTATTTTTTTTACTTTTAAAAATTAAAATTTTGTGTAATTTAAATTCAAAATTTTGAAATTTATTTTATCTTTAATTTTTTCCTTTTTTAGTTTAATAGAAATTAATATTTTAATCAAACTACGTAGTTAAAATTGGATTAAGACTAAAGATAAGTCGTTTTTTTTTACCCATTCTCAGAGTGATTTTCTTTCTCTGGTGTTTGCCTTAACTTCTAGAATAATGATTCTTTTTGATTCTATACACATCATGGTGTTAGTTTTGTATCTGGTTTTTTGACTACTGAACTTGTTTGATTATTAGATGACATTTTATGGTCCTTATTTTGTAATGGTAGTAGACATTACAATCTGGTGATTACCTTTTGTATGGACTACGTTAGCTTTTGTTTAGGTAACTTTGTAAGTATATATATATATATATATATATAAACATATATATTCTTTTTTAATTTAAGAAAAAAAATTATATTATTATAGTATAGGATTATTTTTAATTATCAATAATTTATTTTAAAAATATTAAAATTTTAATTCATAAATAAAATATTATAAATAATTTTTTTGAATTGGCTAAGAAGGTTAAAGAATCTATAAAAGTTTGATAATTTTTTTGGCTAAATTATATTTTTTTTATCTTTAATCTTATTCGTTAGATTTATTTTTGTTTCTTATATTTTAAAATATTTATTTTAATTTTTTATCTTTTATATTTGGATTAATTTGATCTTTTTAAAATAATTAATTTTTAATTTTGTAACACAATTTTAAACTGATTTTAGACAAAAAAAAAACTTATACAATCAAATGCAACTATATAAAAATTACGACATTCAATTGACATTTGAATCCATAAATGCTATAAACATAATGAAAATTATGCAAAAAAATATGTCTCGTAAGAAACTAAAAAACAATATGAAATTTTGAATTCTCAATTACCTTTTGAACTTATTTTTATATAACTTTTATCATGCCTGTAATACTTTTTTATTTAAATTTTAGTTGTATTCAACAATTTTCATATAAATGAATCTAATAAGACAAGGTCAAATCTTGAATCAGTAAAAAAAAAAATATAAAATCATGTCTCAAAATTGAAAATAATAATTACTTTTAAAGGATCAAATTGGTCAAATTTAAGAGATAAAATATCAAAATAAATATTTTTAAATATAAAAAACCAAAATAAATATAAAAAAAATAAGATAAATGATCAATAGTATAATTTAACATATTTTCAAATGTATTTTTGTTTGAGATTATTATTTAACAAATATTTAAATTATAATCAACTCTTATATATTAAATATGAAATTTTCTATCTTGTGCGATAACAGATTTTTCTTTCACAAAAGCGTTTCTAATCTTTTTTAACTTTTTACTTAATTAAATTTAAATTTATCATATTTATTTATAAATTAAATTTTAATATTTTTAAAGTTCTTTTAACTTTTTATCTAATTTAATTTTTATTTATCATATATTTTTATAAATTAAATTTTAATAATTTTATACTATAATATAAACTATTTTATCTATAATAAATTTATATTTTTAAAAATATCTATTTATTTAAAATTTAAATATAATTTATATATTAAAAGATAATATTTATTTATATAATTTATTATAATAAATCTTTAACCTTGTAATTGATAGACTAAAATATTAGTTTATTATATTATAAAAGATTAATCTCTTCCATTCTTTTTAAGAGGAATTTATTTGAGGATAAAACTATTATCTACCGTTAAACCCCACCTTTATACCATAAAAAAAAACTTAATCTTTATCATACACTTAATTTTATTTTATTTTTACTCTATATTGATTTTCATATAAGAGAAATACTTACCATCATCAATCTAGATAAAATTGAATTAATCTCTCTTAAAGTCATTTTAGTTTGAAGGAATGGAAGATAAAAGAGGTGAGAAATTTTAATAAAAGGGATAGGAAGGAAGGAGAAGAGTGAAGAATGATGAATTTTAATAGAAGGGGATGAAAGAGAGAGGATAAGTTAAAAATTTTGTTTGGTAAAATGGAGAAAAAACAATTCTTTTCTTGTTTGGTTTACAAGGGATTATAAAAATCAAATTACTTTTATATTCTTATAATTTTAAAATTTAAAATATAAATAAGGATATTTTGGATATTAGACTAAAAGTGTTTTAAAATTCATTCTTTCCCCCTCCAAATCCTCCAATATTAGAGGATAGCTAATATTTTCAAAAGGTTCATTAATTTTAATATTTTTAATATTATTAAAATTTCAAATTAATGCAATCCATATTTTTGGGCCTATAAATTAAGGTTTATTTTCTCTAAAAAAACCACGACAAAAATTAGAATCTATAAAAAATTGTTAGATAATTTGTGAAGTTTTAGAAAAGAGATACAACAAATAATAAAATAAAACCTGCTCCATTTGTGTTTATGGTCCAAACTATGTTAAATTATACACAAATCGAAAATAAACTTTCATTTTGTGCAAGTTGAACATAAAAATGGCTATTTTAAAGGATTCAGATGTAATGTCAAATGTGATGTACAATGTATATTTTGTAAGCACCGAAATAATTATGTGAGAAAATATTAAACAAAATGTTATCGGATGTTTACCAATACTATTTACAATTGTATCACTAATTGTGACTTGATCAAGTTTTTTTTTTTGTTCGTCCTTGGAGTATCCACTGTCGATAGCGGCGACTAATCTTCTCGTTACGTTGGAGGCACCTCAAAGGGTAGGATAGTTGACCCCAAGATTTAACGCGGTTACATACACAAGACAAGGTTCGAATCTCTGACCTTGCTTAAGCGTGGATCAACCCCTACTGCTGAACTACACGCTTGGGGTTTGTGACTTGATCAAGTTTATCCACGCGGTATGATTAAAATTTTATAATTTCTCTATAATTGAGTTAATTATTTTACATGTTTTTGATAATTATCTCTACTTATCAGATAATCGTGATTGTCTTCTAATTCCTATGGTAGATCATTGCTTGCAAATGTATTAGAATAAGTAATAATACACGTAACAAGAATATTCAAGAAAAACTTATTAATTAGATAAAATAACATTGGTCAATAAAAGTTGTTAGATGAAATAATATTTAGCTAATCTTAATTATGATATGATGGTATACTTATTTGTTATTATCGCACTTTGTCAACGTTCAAAACTCAACATAAAAAAGGTGAAACAATATACATATATAATTATAATAAATAAATATAAAACCTTTTTATATTACTATTAGATTATTATCAAATTGTTATTTAATAAGTTTTTTTTTATAATAATTATGTTAAAAATAATTTAAAATATAATTTTGATTAGTTGATAGTTTAAATTTTTTAAGCTTACATTACATCTCAATTAACTCTTCATAACTTAAAATTTTAAAAATAGAACCTATGTACTAATAGATTTTTTTATACTTTTTATATGCTTAATAATTTGACTAATTTTATATTTGATAAATTGATATATTATTTAATGATATTGGATAATCAATTTTACTAATAATATTAAAGAATTTAAAACCTTGATGGTAAAAAAAGAATTTATAACCTTAACTTGAGAAAATTAATGCAAATGTCTTTAAAATAAAAGCCAAAATAATTTATAAATTTTAGAAATATGAAGTGATAAATAGCAGTAAATCTTATCACGTAACTCAAATTTATAATATAAAATGATAATTAATAATTTGAAATATGTAAAATATGATTAATAATTGATATAAGTGAACTTAAAATTCCATCTGTTCATGTTATTTGACCAATGTGAAATTGGATATGATTTTTGGTAGAAAGTTGCAAGTAAAATTGTACCATAAATAGATAACAGCTGCCTCCGACCTACACGTGGCGCAGATAAGCTGTCATGGTGTATTATTAATTATTAATTATTAAAAATGCTTCTGTTACGAAGCCAACATTGCTCTTATTCCGATCAAGTAACTTGTCCCATATGCCACCAATTAATTCAGTGCCAGAGCATCCACTTCCAAAATTGGACACTCCAATTGCATGA